GCACCCCGAGACCAGCGCCCCGAGACCAGCTCCTGAGACCAGCTTCTGAGACCAGAACCCCGAGACCAGCTCCCCGAGACCAGCTCCCCGAGGCCAGCTCCCCGAGACCAGCTCCTGAGATCAGCTTCTGAGGCCAGCACCCCGAGACCAGCTCCCCGAGGCCAGCTCCCCGAGACCAGCTCCTGAGATCAGCTTCTGAGACCAGCTCCCCGAGGCCAGCTCCCCAAGACCAGCTCCCCGAGACCAGCTCTGTCTGAGGAAAGAGGCAGGAGAGACCCCGCTCGGGTCCCTGCCAGGTTACCCAGGCTCTGCCGCCTCATGCCCACTGGCCCAGGTGCAGCCTTCTTCCCTCATTTGGTCACATTACTACCGTCTCCTCTGTCCTGGAAAATAGTTAAAGGGTCCCCATCATAGTTTGCTGCTCACTCCCCACACCCAGAGGTACCGCTCATTACTGGGTGTTTCAGCCGCCCGGCGCTTGGAGCCAGCGCTGCCGGCCTGTGACCTGGGCTGACCCCCACTCCGCGAGCCGGCTTCCTGGTCTGCAGAGCAATAGGGAAGTATCTGCCCCCAGAAGGCTGGCCCAGAGGCCAAATGAGATGACGCACGGGCTCCTGGCACAGAAAAGGCTTCAAAAGAGTGGCTGCAGGTCACGATGTCAACAGCTCTAATGTCCAGAGTAGCGAGGACATAGCTCCTCGTGCCCGTCCCCGCAACTGGGATCACACGCTGACAGGTCACAACCAGGGCTTGATGCCAGGCAGGGCGTGCCCACGAGAGAAGCGTGTGCCTGCGTGGCCCGGCAGACGGCCGTGTGGAGTGTGTGTTACATGAAAGTGTGAACTTCTGTCCTTTACACACGCTTACTCCCCAGAACGTGGAGGGGACCCCCCTGAGGCCCAGGTCCGCTCCCCCTGCCGGTGCTGCAGGGCCGGCTGGCCGCCCTTCCAAGCACACAGAGCAGTGTGGGCAGCGCTGGGTCGGCAGAGCAGCGGGTCAAGGCCCTGGGCAGGCACGGTGGGTGGGCCTCCTGCCACAGCCTCCCGGGGAGCCGAGGGTGCTCACAGGCTCCACCTCCATCTCCTCCCCGCCCGCCGCTCCTGGCCTGCAGGGGTTCCCTTCAGCACCACAGACACGGGCTCGGCCAGCCAGGCAGCACCTGCTGCTGGTTCCCTGGGTGCGCCGGTTGGCAGGTGGGGCTGAAAGGCCCGTACACACCAACGGGGCAAATAACACAGAGGCAAAGCTCCTCCCTCCTCCCGGTCCCCAGGACTTTCTCTCCAGCCCTGAGAGCCAGGATGGCCCAGGGAGCAAGGCCTCCCCAGAGCAGAGCCCCCCAGAACAGGGCCCCCCAGAGCAGAGCATGGGCTGCCAGGACCTGCAGCGCTGAGGCCTGCTGGCCTTCTGCAGCCTCTCTGCCCCGCTCTCTGCAGGCCTGTGAGGGCTCCCCTCTTTTCTTGCCTTATTGGACTCATTGGATCATCCTAACACCCCCCTGTTCCTAGATCTGCCATCTTGGGCCCTCCCTCCCCAAGTCTGTTTTGCATATTCTCCCCACACTGTCCCCCGAGGCATGACACACCACAACACCCTCTTCACCCAGTCGCGCATGAGTTCATCCAAAATGTGGGTCCCTAACCCCATGCCTGGCATCGTGCCCTCCCTCAGAGCTCACACTCCGGCTGAAAGGGACCACCACCTGGCCAAGACATGGATTAAGGGTGGAGGCAGCAGCAGGGAAGCCTCTGGGTGGGGAAAGAGGGAGGCGGCAGAGCCGGGCTGGCGCAGGGCCCTGGCCAGTGCCCTGTGGTGGTGAGTGAGGTGCGGAGGGTGCGATGGGCGACGGAAGCCAGAGCCTTCGGGCCTTGAGGCCAGAGCGGACCCTGGGGTTTCACAGGTGCCAGCGCACAGCTTTAAGCAGGGAGTGACTGGTCTGGCATTTTCCAGTCATTCTCTCAGGCAGCTGTGTAGAGCATGGGGAGCGAGAGGCGATGGGAGGCCCATGGGAACCCAGCAGGAGCTGATCGAGAGCTGCTAAAAGGACATGCGCGATGATATCTGAGATGTGGTCATTCAGATCGACCAAAAAGGGGTCAGTGCAGGGGTGACCCCCAATTCCTGCCCACTCCCGATGGCGCCCCTGGACTGGACTCTGTGCCAGGAACATCAGGAACCGTGTGGACTTAAACTGTTTGTAGACACCCTCACTCTGAAGGCCCAGGGCAGTGCCTCATCTGAGCAGACGCTCCTCCTTCCAGGTCCAGCCGAAGCCGCGATCGGTGCCCAGCACCACCTCACGCTCCCCTGCCCTCTTGCTCTGTCATCTCCCTGCTTGTGATGCTGTGGCCCTGAGCTGGGCACAGGCCGCACTCGGAGCTCAGGCACAGACGCCTTCCGAGCCCACGGAACAGGTGAGACCTAGGGCACGTCCAAGGGCTGGTTTCGCCCCAACTGCCTGGACCTCGCCATCGTTACGCTTGCCTTTATAGGAGACACCGCCTCCCAAACAGGGCACGTCCAACTCTGGCCCATCTGCGTGCCGTGCCCCGAAGGTGGGCCTTGGCGCCAAGTCAGAGCTGGGCCCGGCCACGTCAATAAAGTGAAGGAGGGCCCGTGTCTTCCTGACTCCAAGAGGGTTTCAAACGTGGCGGGACCAGAAGTCCCCAGTTAAAGGTCCTGATCCAGGGATACCCCCGCCCCCCTCACCCCCCCCCCCCCCCCCCCCCGCTGATTCAGTAGGGCCTAGGGGGCCCTGTAATCTGCAATGTTAGCCCCTCACGGGGCCTGGTTCTCAGAAGCAGGAAGTACAGAAATTGCTGAGGGACAAAGCCCTGCCCTAGGCACCAGCCCCGGGGGCCCAGAGAACACAGATACCTCTCCCGCCACAGGCGGGGTGGGTGCTGGGGACAGGTCAGACGCCCTACCCTCCCGGCCAGGGCGTTGGGGCTGCTTGCAGGGGCCTCTCCCACACTGCACGCACGTGGGAGGCCAGCAGGGCGGCAGGGGTGGGATGAGCTTCGAGGTGACTCCACTAAGCACTCTGTCCTGTCTAGCTCTGCCCTTAGCAAAGGCAAGAAGTTAGGGCCAGTCCTTCCCCTTAACACACCCACTCCATGTCTTTCAAGTCTCCGCCCAGCACAAACCAGGACAAGAGCTAACAGATGGAACTTCCTGCTCTGCGGGGCACAGGGGATTCTTCCAGGAACTTGAGCGGGGCCTCTCTGGACCTCTGCCAGGGGCATGCCCAAGGGGCTTCCATCATGTGAGCAGCTCGGGGTGGCGCCTGCTGGATGCAAACAGACCAAAAGGCCATCAAGTAACCAACATGCGGACCAAGAGGCAGGAAGGGACCCGAGAGAAGCGTGTGCCATCCGCTCGGAACCCTGGCGATCCCTGGGCTGCCACAGGACGGGACGCAGGAGGCCTCCTGGCTGGTCAAGGGCAGCAGCACGGGGAAAGCCCAGACACGCAGCTCAGACTCCCAGCCTGGCAGAGCGGCAAGTTCCTGTTCAGGCGGGGACCCAAGACCAACCCACAAGGGCAGGCTCAACACGCGGTGGCTGGGAAGGCCCCGTCGAGTCCCACAAATACATTCCTCCTCCAGCCCCATTCACTGCAGGCAGGATCGGCTTCTGGGAACGGCAGGCATTCTGCCCATATCCCAGCCACTGCTGCTGCTCACAGCCCCACAGCCTGCTGGCACCGCGGGGCACAGTGCCCGCTCTGAGTGCGTCCTGCTCCGACACTCATTCCAAATGCACCCTCCTAAGCAAGACTGATCTCCCTCACCTACAGATGCAGGCCACAGCGCCTCCCTTCTGGAATTACTGGCAGTTGAAGGATAGAAGTTTAATATAAACCGCCTCGCAGAGCTGGCACTCAAATTAATTCCTTCCCTCCCTTCCTGCTCCTTTGACAGTTTCTTGCCTCAGCCCCAAACCCAAAGAGATCCCAACTCAGACATGCCAAAGGGGCCCAAAGGCTGAGCATAAATACTCCCAATGAGCCCTGAGGCTCCCAGATACGCCTGCTCGGGAGCTCAACTCCGAATTCATTGCTCAGCTGAAGCTGGGGCTCGGGTCCGGGCGGCGGCTCTGTCCCCTGAACCCTACATTTACTCAGTGCGGGAGGAAGAGCCTGCGGGACTGGGCAGCGGGGATAAAGGCCCACACCCGCGAGAGGTCTTTTAAGAAACATTCGGAGGTGACCGAGTCACCAGGAAGCGTGGAGGGACACAGGTGCCAGCACTCCCCCAGGTAACCCCGCCTTCCCGCCCAGCCCGGCCTCGTGCGCCACAGGTACATTCTGAAGCTGGGCGGTGAGTAGTGTCCATTCTGACCACGGAGTCCCAGCGTTCAAAGTTGCCCTGGAAACTACCCGGGTTCCGAACCCCCAGCACGCACAGGGCGGCGTCTCGCCACAAAGGAGATGCGATCAGCTAACCTCCCGCCCCTAGGCCTCCACCCGCCCGCGGAAGTGGCGCCTTTCCCGGAGTTTCCACGACAGGCCGGGCTCCCGGGAACACACTCCCCGGCACCCTGATAGTTGTCCCCACATAGATCTCCGCATAGAGATGCGCGCATCCGGGGAAGCAAGGCCGCCAGGGCCCGGCCCGGGACACCGAGAGGGTCTGGGCAGCCCGTGCACGCGTCTCCG